CCGAGTGCTAGAATGGTCAGTCCGCCCCTGGCTACAAGGAAGTGTAGGGTTACAGGGAGGGTTAGTCCAAGGGTTTGTGCTATGGGGTTAGTGCTTTGGTTACAGAGATGATTATTGTTAGTCCAAGGGTTAGGACTTTGGTTACAGGGAGGGTTAGTCTCATGGGTTAGGGCTATAGTTACAGGGAGGGTTAGTCCAAGGGTTAGTACTTTGGTTACAGAGAGAGTTGGTCCAAGAGTTAGTGTTATGGTTACATGGAGGATCAGTGCTATGTTTAGCGGGAGGGTTGGTTCAAGGGTTCAAGGGTTAGGGCTCTGGTCAAAGGGAAAATTAGTCCAAGAGTTTGTGCTATGGTTGTAGGGAGGGTTAGTGCTATGGGGTTAGTGCTTTGGTTACAGAGATGATTATTGTTAGTCCAAGGGTTAGGACTTTGGTTACAGGGAGGGTTAGTCTCATGAGTTAGGGCTATAGTTACAGGGAGGGTTAATCCAAGGGTTAGGACTTTGGTTACAGGGAGGGTTAGTCCAAGGGTTAGTACTTTGGTTACAGAGAGAGTTGGTCCAAGAGTTAGTGTTATGGTTACATGGAGGATCAGTGCTATGTTTAGCGGAGGGGTTGGTTCAAGGGTTCAAGGGTTAGGGCTCTGGTCAAAGGGAAAATTAGTCCAAGAGTTTGTGCTATGGTTGTAGGGAGGGTTAGTGCTATGGTTACAGGAAGGGTTAGTCCAAGGATTAGGGCTATAGTTACAGGGATGGTTAGTCCAAGGGTTAGGACTTTGGTTACAGGGAGGGTTAGTCCAAGGGCTAGTGCTGTGGTTACAGGGAGGGTTAGTGCTATGTAAAGAGGGAGGGTTAGTCCAAAGGTTAGGACTTTGGTTACAGGGTAGGTTAGTACAATGGTTACAGGGAGGGTTAGTGCTATGTTTAAAGGGAGGGTTAGTCCAAAGGCTAGGGCTATGGTTAAAATTGAAATTAGTCCAAGAGTTGTTGCTATGGTTGTAGGGAGAGTTATTGCTATGGTTACAGGGAGGGTTAGTCTAAGGGTTAGTGCTATTGTTATGGGGAGAGTAAGTCCAAGGGTTAGTGCTATGGTTACAGAGAGGATTAGCACAAGGGTTAGGGCTATAGTTAGAGGGAGGGTGTGTCTAAGGGTGAGTGCTATGGTTACAGGGAGGGTTAGTGCTATGGTTACAGGGAGGGTTAGTCCAAGGGTGAGTGCTATGGTTACAGGGAGGGTTAGTGCTATGGTTACAGGGAGGAATAGTCCAAGGGTTAGTGCTATGCTTACGGGGAGAGCTATTCCAAGGGTTAGTGCTATGGTTATGGGAAGGGCTATCCCAAGGGTTAGGGCTATGGTCAAAGGGAGAATTAGTCCAAGAGTTGGTGCTATGGTTGTAGGGAGGTTTAGTGCGATGGTTACAGGGAGAGTTATTCCATGGGTTAGTGCTACGGTTACAGGGAGGAATAGTCTAAAAGCTAGTGCATTGGTCATAGGGAGGATTAGTCCAAGGATTAGAGTTTTGGTTACAGGGGGAGTTAGTTCACAGATTAGGGCTATGGTTACAGGGAGGGTTAGTCCAAAGGTTAGTGCTATGGTTACCGGGAGGGGGGTGTGTGTACACGGGTTAGTGCTATGTTTTGAGGGAGGGTTAATACAAGGGTTAGGGCTATTTTTATGGGGAGAGTAAGTCCAAGGGTTAATGCTATGGTTACAGAGAGGATTAGTCCAAGGGTTAGGGTTGTGGTTACAGGGATGATTAGTTCAAGGGTTAGGGCTATAGTTAGAGGGAGGGTTTGTCTAAGGGTTAGGGCTTTGGTTACAGGGAGGGTTAGTCCAAGGGTTAGTGCTATGGTTATAGGGAGGGTTAGACTTATGATTTTAAGCAGAAACCTGCTGAATTTCAGTCTATATGTAGCCATCCCTGGACTGGTGGAAAACCTTCTTCAATGAGCAGCTGTTGTGCTGATCAGTGTATTCTAGCTGGCTGGCTGAATAAAAAAAAAACTAACACTGTACAGCTTTAGTGTTAAAGTTAGAGGAAAGGTTAGTGTGGGGATTAGTGTTAGGGTTACAAGGGTTAGTGTTATAGTTAGTGTTAGGGTTACAAGGATGTGTAGTGTGAGTGTTACAAGGAATGATGGTCTAAGGGTTAGTGCTATGGTTACAAGGAGAGTTAAAATGAGGGTTACAAGGAGGACACATGTGAGGGATATTGCAGGGGTGGACTGACAACTCATGGGGTCCCCCGGGCAATAGGGGATCATGGGGCCCCTGTGTCCTTGCCCAAACTCAAAAAAGCCTATGAAAAAGGTACCAGGGGCATCTCATGGGGCCCCCTACCGACCCCGGGCCCTCGGGCAGTGCCCGAGTTTGCAAATGGTCAGTCGGCCCCTGGGTTATTGTTAGGGTTGAGGTGGATGGAGGGGGGGTTAGTGTGATCATTACTTTTAGGGGAATTGGCTAAGTTCTTCTGAGGGTTAAAGGAAGTGTTAATGTTAGGGTTAGAATTAGGCTTACAAGAGATTCAGAGTAATGGTTCGTATTACAGGAAGAGCTGAGGTGAGGCCTACAGAGAAGGTTAATGTTATGGTTAAAGGGAATTCTACACCAAAACCAAAACCTACCTGCCAAAGTTACCTTACCAGCAAACTGACTATAGTAGAACTTTCCTTTATGGTCAGCATCCTTTAAGACTGCAATAACCAAAGTACATCAGACTGTCCCATTGCTCTCCACTTAGTGTAAAGAAAGGAGCTTTCCAAACTCTCCTGTAGAAAAAGCTATGACTTTATTGTGCAGACTCATTCCTCAACAGTATAAAAAGATGTCCCCTTTGAATATTGTGCAGCAGAAGTATTTCACCTAGCCTAAGGCTAATATTTGCAATGGCTGACTGCCAGTACAACACCTGTGTAATTTGGCTTGCCTGCTGTCCCTGTGGAGGTGCAGAATTTTAAAAGACTACAAACTGACAGTAATTAGTAAAAATTGCAGTGGGTGTAAACTAAAGAGCAAAACATGAGCTAAAAAAGTATTGCTCTTCTGCATCAAATTTCTATGGTGATAGAAGAGGTTTGTGCTTATACACAGTGATGTTGGAGATCAGGAACGTGTGGATGGATTAGAGTCCAAACTAGGGATGAGCTGGACATACCTGAATGCGGTTTGCAGGACTGTCACTGATCAACTTGCAAACTCTGAATGCTAGAACTCCATTGATGTCAATGTGAACCAACTCTTCAAAACAAATTCTGACAATTTTCAAGGCTAATAGGCAGGAGCTGAAATGGAATGGCGGGTGGACACTGCCAGGGGGGACATGTACCAATGCAAAAGACATTTTAAAAATATTATTTTGCATGGAGCAACTATTGTATTAATGCAAAAATGGCATTGGGACCCTACCAACATATAGTTCATACCAGAACCTTGAGGGTCCCTTTGGCGTTTTTTTTTTTACACACACAAAAAATTTTCTTTCTAAACTGTCAATTTTGCTGTAGTGAATCCTATAGCATAAATGAAAAAAAATGGCAAAAAGAAAAAAATTGTGGGGCCCCCAAAATTCATACCCTAACCCTTATCTTTGATGAGGGTCTATTAAGGATTTTAAGAAAGAACTTTACTCATCAACAAAAAAGGTGTGGGTTCCATCAAAATTCATACCAGAACCTTTGGGGTTTGATGTGAGGGGTACTCACACAAAAACAAAAAAAAAATGTGGAGTTCCCCCAAAATACATACCAAACTCTCATCTGAGCATGTAGCCCGGCTGGCTAGGAAAGTGCGAGCAGCGAGTTTTTGCCCCTATCAGGGATACCACAGGCATCCAGCAAGGATGACCAGATCAGTGGGCAGTACCTTAAAAATTCAGGACCGAGGCTGAGTAAAGTTAATTGAAGTTTATTATTATTATTATATAGGATTTATATAGCACCAACAGTTTGCGCAGCGCTTTACAATATAAAGGGAGGCAGTATAATTACAATACATTTCAGTACAGAAGGAATAGGAGGGCCCGGCTCGTGGAGCTTACAATCTAAAGTTACAATCTATTTATTAGCATAAATATCATTCTTACAATACCAACAACACCAATAAGTCATAAACAATGAAAAAAATATAAGTGTGAAAGTGCAGCAACCCAAACAATAACCTAACTATATACAAATGGAAGGAGCAAACAAAAACAGGGCAAAGTCAGGACTAAGTCAGGATCCAAGAGGAGCAAGGAGCAAGGTACTGGGAGAGCTGGGTGCAGGGTACAGAAGAATATAAAAGAAGAAAGTGAGTACACCCCTAAGTGCTCCAAACTGGGCCCAATTAGCCATTTTTCTGTCCCTGTTGTCATGTGACTCATTAGTGTTACAAGGTCTCAGGTGTGAATTGGGAGCAGGTGTGTTAAATTTGGTGTTATCGCTCTCACTCTCTCATACTGGTCACTGGAAGTTCAACATGGCACCTCATGGCAAAGAACTCTCTAAAGATCTGAAAAAAAAAGAATTGTTGGTCTACATAAAGATGGCCTAGGCTATAAGAAGATTGCCAAGACCCTGAAACTGAGCTGCAGCATGGTGGCCAAGACCATACAGCGGTTTAACAGGACAGGTTCCACTCAGAACAGGGCCTTGCCGTGGTCAACCAAAGAAGCTGAGTGCACGTGCTCAGCATCATATCCAGAGGGTGTCTTTGGGAAATAGTGAGTGCTGCCAGTATTGCTGCAGAGGTTGAAGGGGTGGGGGGTCAGCCTGTCAGTGCTCAGACCATACTCCGCACACTGCATCAAATTGGTCTGCATGGCAATGTTGAACAGTATAAAGTGCATGAATCCATCTAACATATAAAGTGCGTTATCATAATCTACCAATGTATTATCTGTTGCATATATCCAAACAACTATGATCAAATAAATTCCCAAATGTGATCAAATAAAGTTCAGAAAGTCCATAAGAAAAGGAATGTTCACAATAGTTCTTATACTTGTGCAAGCTTTCAATTCCTTAGTGCAGGGGTGGGCAACTGTGGCCCTCCAGCTGTTGGTGAAGTCCCATCATGCCTCTGCCTTTGGGAGTCATGCTTGTACCTGTCAATTTTGCAATGCCTCATGGGACTTGTAGTTCTACAACAGCTGGAGACCCACAGTTGCCCACCCCTGCCTTAATGCATTTATGCATTCTCCACTCGTAACTTCTTATCACAACGTGTATCTCTCCCATCACCTATTTCCATACGCTCTCATCTTAAAGTGTTACTAAACCCAGGACCCTGCATTCACTATATCTGGTCTCCCAGGACCCTGCATTCACTATATCTGGCCTCCCCGGACCCTGCATTCACTATATATGGTATCCCTGGACCCTGCATTCACTATATCCGGTCTCCCCGGACCCTGCATTAACTATATCTGGTCTCCCCGGACCCTGCATTCACTATATCCGGTCTCCCCGGACCCTGCATTAACTATATCTGGTCTCCCCGGACCCTGCATTCACTATATCTGGTCTCCCGGACCCTGCATTCACTATATCTGGTCTCCGCGGACCCTGCATTCACTATATCTGGTCTCCTCGGACCCTGCATTCACTATATCTGGTCTCCCCGGACCCTGCATTTACTATATCTGGTCTCCTCGGACCCTGCATTCACTATATCTGGTCTCCGCGGACCCTGCATTCACTATATCTGGTCTCCCCGGACCCTGCATTCACTATATCTGGTCTCCTCGGACCCTGCATTCACTATATCTGGTCTCCGCGGACCCTGCATTCACTATATCTGGTCTCCCACAGTACACAAAACATGGAAATGCGATTATTTTATACATTATAAACTGACAAATACCTTTGCTCATCAGCAGTATATAGCAGTTTTATATTTTCTATCAGTGTCCAGCTGAGCACTGGTTAAAACTTGTAGGAGTTTTGTCCTATGAGGCTGCATAACCCCTGACCTCTGCCTGGACAATTGCTGATTGACCCAGAGCTGATCACATGCATCCTCCAAAGAAAAAATAACTCTAGCAATACACATTAAACCGAGCATGTGCAGAGTGACTCCTAGAGCTCTGTATTATCAGAAGATGGCTTGGGGGAAAAGACAGGATCAAACAGCCTTTTTACACAATACAATGGATTCACCCTTAGGTTCCACAGTGAGTATAACAAGCATGCTTTACTGAATATACAGACTGAGTTTACTGTTGTGGGTTTTGGAACACTTTAATATTTTGACTCAAGAATAGGTCTCATGCGTTTTCCCCCTTATAGTGGGGTCTCCTTTATCACGAACAAGGATCAGGAACAATGATCTGGAACAAGGATCAGGAACAGGCATGGGGAACAATGATCAGGAACAAGGATCAGGAAAAAGGTGGGGAACAATGATCAGGAACAAGGATCGGGAACAATGATTAGAAGCAAGGATCAGGAACAAGGATGGGGAACAATGATCAGAAACAAGGATGGGGAACAATGATCTGGAACAAGGATCAGGAACAAGGATCAGGAAAAAGGATGGGGAACAAGGATTGGGAACAATGATTAGAAGCAAGGATCAGGAACAAGGATCGGAAAAAAAAAATGATTACAAGCAAGGATCAGGAACAAGGATGGGGAACAAGGATCAGGAACAAGGATCAGGAACAAGAATCAGGAACAAGGACGGAGAACAAGGACCGGGAACAATGATTAGAAGGAAGGATCAGGAACAAGGATGGGGAACAAGGATCAGGAACAAGGATCTGGAACAAGGATCAGGAACAGGCATGGGGAACAATGATCAGGAACAAGGATCAGGAAAAAGGATGGGGAACAATGATCAGGAACAAGGATCAGGAACAATGATTAGAAGCAAGGATCAGGAACAAGGATGGGGAACAAGGATCAGGAACAAGGATGGGGAACAATGATCTGGAACAAGGATCAGGAACAAGGATCAGGAAAAAGGATGGGGAACAATGATCAGGAACACAGATTGGGAACAATGATTAGAAGCAAGGATCAGGAACAATGATCAGGAAAAAGGATGGGGAACAATGATCAGGAACAAGGATTGGGAACAATGATTAGAAGCAAGGATCAGGAACAAGGATCGGGAAAAATGATTACAAGCAAGGATCAGGAACAAGGATGAGGATGAGGAACAAGGATCAGGAACAAGGATCAGGAACAAGAATCAGGAACAAGGACGGAGAACAAGGATCGGGAACAATGATTAGAAGCAAGGATCAGGAACAAGGATGGGGAAACAAGGATCAAGAACAAGGATCTGGAACAAGGATCAGGAACAGGCATGGGGAACAATGATCAGGAACAAGGATCAGGAAAAAGGATGGGGAACAATGATCAGGAACAAGGATCAGGAACAATGATTAGAAGCAAGGATCAGGAACAAGGATGGGGAACAAGGATCAGGAACAAGGATGGGGAACAATGATCTAGAACAAGGATCAGGAACAAGGATCAGGAAAAAGGATGGGGAACAATGATCAGGAACAAGGATTGGGAACAATGATTAGAAGCAAGGATCAGGAACAATGATCGGGGAAAAATGATTACAAGCAAGGATCAGGAACAAGGATGGGGAACAAGGAATCAGGAATCAGGAACAAGGATCAGGAACAAGAATCAGGAACAAGGACGGAGAACAAGGATCGGGAACAATGATTAGAAGCAAGGATCAGGAACAAGGATCAGGAACAAGGATCAGGAACAAGGATCTGGAACAAGGATCAGGAACAGGCATGGGGAACAATGATCAGGAACAAGGATCAGGAAAAAGGATGGGGAACAATGATCAGGAACAAGGATTGAGAACAATGATTAGAAGCAAGGATCAGGAAACAAGGATGGGGAACAAGGATCAGGAACAAGGATGGGGAACAATGATCTGGAACAAGGATCAGGAACAAGGATCAGGAAAAAGGATGGGGAACAATGATCAGGAACAAGGATTGGGAACAATGATTAGAAGCAAGGATCAGGAACAAGGATCGGGAAAAATGATTACAAGCAAGGATCAGGAACAAGGATGGGGAACAAGGATCAGGAACAATGATCAGGAACAAGGATCAGGAACAAGGATCGGGAACAATGATTAGAAGCAAGGATCAGGAACAAGGACGGAGAACAAGGATCGGGAAACAATGATTAGAAGCAAGGATCAGGAACAAGGATGGGGAACAAGGATCAGGAACAAGGATCAGGAACAATGATCTGGAACAAGGATCAGGAACAGGCATGGGGAACAATGATCAGGAACAAGGATCAGGAAAAAGGTGGGGAACAATGATCAGGAACAAGGATCGGGAACAATGATTAGAAGCAAGGATCAGGAACAAGGATGGGGAACAAGGATCAGGAACAAGGATGGGGAACAATGATCTGGAACAAGGATCAGGAACAAGGATCAGGAAAAAGGATGGGGAACAATGATCAGGAACAAGGATTGGGAACAATGATTAGAAGCAAGGATCAGGAACAAGGATCGGGAAAAATGATTACAAGCAAGGATCAGGAACAAGGATGGGGAACAAGGATCAGGAACAAGGATCAGGAACAAGGATCAGGAACAAGGACGGAGAACAAGGATCGGGAACAATGATTAGAAGCAAGGATCAGGAACAAGGATGGGGAACAAGGATTAGGAAACAAGGATCTGGAACAAGGATCAGGAACAGGCATGGGGAACAATCAGGAACAAGGATCAGGAACAAGGATCAGGAACAAGGATCAGGAACAAGGATCAGGAACAAGGATGGAACAAGGATCAGGAACAAGGATCAGGAACAGGCATGGGGAACAATGATCAGGAACAAGGATCAGGAACAAGGATCAGGAACAAGGATCAGGAACAAGGATCTGGGAACAAGGATCAGGAACAGGCATGGGGAACAATGATCAGGAACAAGGATCAGGAAAAAGGATGGGGAAAAACAATGGGGAACAATCAGGAACAAGGATTGGGAACAATGATTAGAAGCAAGGATCAGGAACAAGGATGGGGAACAAGGATCAGGAACAAGGATGGGGAACAATGATCTGGAACAAGGATCAGGAACAAGGATGGGGAACAATGATCAGGAACAAGGATGGGGGAACAAGGATCAGGAACAAGGATCGGGAAAAATGATTAGAACAAGCAAGGATCAGGAACAAGGATCAGAACAAGGACAGAGGATGGGGAACAAGGATTACAAGCAAGGATCAGGAACAAGGATCAGGAACAAGGGAACAAGGGATCAGGAACAAGGATCGGGAACAATGATCAAGGATCAGGAACAATAGGATCAGGAACAAGGATCAGGAACAAGGATCGGGAACAATGATTAGAAGCAAGGATCAGGAACAAGGACGGAGAACAAGGATCGGGAACAAGGAAGGGAAGCACAATGATTAGAAGCAAGGATCAGGAACAAGGATGGGGAACAAGGATCAGGAACAAGGATCAGGAACAAGGATCGGGAACAATGATCAGGCATGGACATGCTTGCAGGGATAATACTGAAGCATTGAACTTCAGTCAAGGGCGGGATTATATACCTCCCAGCAGCCGATGTCAGGTGAAGCCTAATTACTTGGACAGCCCAGCTGCTGGAAGACACCTGCTGTTGACAACCAGAAATGCACCCTTTGACTCTGGGACCAACAGTGACACCAGAAGGTCACCCAGGTGTTGATACAAGTCCTGACAGCCCCCCTTCCAAACAATAGAAGGCCACAGCATGGGGAAGGTACCTTGCCAGGTGGGATTGCCCTGATAAAGCACCTTGTCCCCATGTTAATGAGGAGAAAGATCCTTTTTCCACAACCCTGGGCTGGTAGTTGTCGGGACCAGTGAGTGTGCGTGTATGGGGAGGGGTTATTGAATCTGGAAGCCCCCTTCAAAATTCCAAGAAAAAGATTTGCATTTGCAATCAGTTTAACAAGCAGATAATATGCTTTAAAACACATCCTAATTGACCTCTGTAGCTTCAGGCACTGTGTACAAATTTGTCCTCAAAGTTTTCCAAACCACAACTCAATGTTCTCCTCTTTAGCTTCTTCACAAGCACCCAAAATGCACATTCCAAGGCTGGCAGGCTACAAACTCACTGCTTTGGGGGGGGGAGAAATATGAACACAGTCATTGAAAATTAAAGCACAAGTGCTTTTGCTGTAAACTTTAAAGTAGTAATTAATCCTCAATTACAAAATAAAGTTTTTTATGTTCATAAATTTAAATAATTTTTAGCTAATCTGCTTGTAAAGTTTTTTTTATTATCTTTTTCAAATGTCCCCCGCTCTGTACATCGGGTTTAGCTCCCCAATTGAGAAGCATGCGCACAAACTCTCCAAAAACTGCTCACAGCAGGACTCCATGTTATATGAGTAACAGTGCTCCATTTAATATGCACATTAGTTTTATTGATTACCTGCTTGTCCTCCACATATTACCACAGCCAGGGGTGGACTGACCATTTGGAAACTCGAGCACTGCCCGAGGGCCCGGGGTCAGTAGGGGGCCCCATGAGATGCCCCTGGTACCTTTTTCATAGGCTTTTTTGAGTTTGGGCAAGGACACAGGGGCCCCATTATTATTATTATTATACAGTATTTATAAAGCGCCAATGGTTTGCTCAGCGCTGTACATTACAGAGGGGGACAGAACATGTGACAGAACAATACCAATACAATGCAAAACATGAGGGGATAGAGGACCCTGCTCTTTCGAGTTTACAATCTAGGAGGGAGGGGATAGTGGTACAGGAGGAGATAGCTGTGGGGGATGGAGTGGTAGGAAGAGTGGAGGAGGTCGGTCAAGTTAGCAGGGGGTGGGGTAGGCTTCCCTGAAGAGATGGGTTTTCAGGGTGCACCTAAAGGAGAGGAGAGTAGGT